ACAACTTAAGCTTTTGGTTGAGATGGTCATGAGAAATTAGTGCAATGCTTCAAATGTAATCCCCCTACAGTTGAGGGGGCGGGCGTATTGGAGAAATTAATATTAAATGATACATTTCATTAACAACTTAAGCTTTTGGTTGAGATAGTCATTCTACCCCACTCATTGTCGCGGGCATATTGGAGAAATTAATATTAAATGATAAATTTCATTAACAGCTTAAACTTTTGGTTAAGATGGTCATTCTACCCCACTCATTGTCTTCCTCAATTTGTGGTGTGTTGAAGTAGTTCATCGAAAATTTCGTCGAAAGTGCTACTGTGGCGGTGGCGGCAGTCGAGGAAAAGAGAAAATTGGTTGAGATGGTCATTCAACCCCACTCATTGTCTTCCTCAATTTGTGGTGTGTTGAAGTAGTTTGTCGAAAATTTCGTCGAAAGTGTTACTGTGGCAGTGGCAGCAGTCGAGGAAAAGAGAAAATGCAGTGGCTGCGGTGATCGAAAAAAGAGGGAAAACAAGGTGATCCTCAGGGGTTGGGGGTGGGTGGGGGGTGTGTGTAGAAACGGGAGATAGAGATTTTTTTTTCCTTTTTAATTGTGTAATTTATTTATTAATATAGATATATTTATATGTATTTTTGCAAAAAACCCTTCGGGGTATTTCAGTCTTTGCAAACATAGTCAATGAATAAATTACAAATGGATCGAGTGGGCTATTTAAAAAAATGTATAAGGAGGTTCCAATGATATTTTTATCGCAAGGACTTTTCCTGTTGTTCCACATTACTTAAGGTTATTTTTTGCAAAAAACTCTATTATGCTACTTTAACGACTTTAAAAGAGAATATAAGTTTGTTTATTAATTGACCAATTGCATAATAGATTTTTTTTAATAGAACAAATTAGTAATATGTTTCTCCACATTAAAATTTGGAAATTTTGTTTTTCCTTAAAGAATTTCATTTTATTTCTAAAATGTGTTTATCTATGGATTATGTAGCACAGACACGGAAACACGGACACAGAGAAATGGGGAAATTGAGATAGGGAGGCTTCATTTTCCAAAAAGTTGGATACATAAACATAGGGAAAACATGTAAATGCTAAAAATATGTGGATACATTTATCATTTCTAAAATATGTTCTAATGTTTAACTTATATAAAAGGATAGAATGATTAGCAATTGCAAAAGAAAAAAAAAAAGAAAAAAAAGGAAAAAAAGTAAAGTGTGCCTTTGATAAGAATATCAGAATATGTGTCCCCACTCATTTTACCTTTATCTTTTATTTTATTTTCCCTTTTCATATTGATAATAAATTACAATTTTATTTTATTTTCCCTTTTCATATTGATAATAAATTACAATTATAAAATATCAAGATGTAATTAACTCAAATTGAAAAGGAGCAACTATCAAATATCTCAACAGCCTCTAAAAAAAAATCATCAATCTACATAAATCTACAACTTTTTTTAATTAATAATTGTTTTAACTATTGACTTTACTATATAATACTGTCTTTTTAAATATATAATAATTTCTTTTTTGATTTGCTCCACTACACCAAAAGTGGTATTTTCTGACTGCAAAACTATACATAGTATTGTTTTATTGTTGATCCACATATAATAATGTGTGTGTATGTATTTGTGTATATATGTATTGTAAATTTCTATTCGGTGTATTTTTCACACAGGTGCACGACAATGAGTGGGAAAATATATAGATAGTACCAACGGTTATTTAAATGTACCAAAAACGCATCCCACTCACCGCCTGCATATATGGATCATATCTTAAGGCCCCGTTTGGTTGCCAAGATAAGCCATGATTAACTAAATAGTTGGACTTAATTTGATGTTTGGTATCCTCAATAACTTGCCGGGTCGACCCGCCAAAATTATATAATCATGGCTTATCTTGGCTTATCTTGCCTTTTAATGAGTTTTTTTTGTTGCACCTTTCAAGCTCCAATAAAATAATTGGGTCTCATTAGATTATTTAATCTTATCTTGGCTAATCTTATCTTGCCAACCAAACGAGGCCTAAATGAACTACAATCTTAGTAATAATTGCTAGTGGGTTTCAAAATTATTGCAAAAGCAGATGATTGAATTCACCCTGAATTTTGCGGGTGTCGGACTTTCGATAGGATATAGATGGGTTTTGTTTAGATGTCAAGATAAGATTAAATTAAGGTCATGTTTGATTGGCAAGATAAGATTAGCCAGGATAAGATTAAATAATCTAATGAGATTCAATTATTTTATTGGAGCTTGGAGTGTCCAACAAAAAAAAACTCATTAGAAAGCAAGATAAGCCATGATTATATAATTTGGCGGGTCGACCCAGCAATTTATTGAGGATACCAAACATCAAATTAAGTCCAATTATTTAGTTAATCATGGCTTATCTTGGCAACCAAACGGGGCCTTAGTATATTATAATATAAAACTCTTGTAATATTAGGTTTCTATTGTGATTATGTTAACTAAATCAGTTATGATTAGGACCGGCAATTGAGCCGGGCCTAACCGAAGCCTGATGGCTCGGCCTGATCTTATTTGAGCCGGCCTACTTTTTAGTGAGTCGGGCCGAATTTGAGCCATTTTAGTAAATCCGATTTATTTATGAGTCGAGTTTGAACTTACTATTGCTCAACCTGAATAAGGCCTGACCGCTTAGGTTAATAATAAAATATATAATATATTTATTATTGTAATGATATGATGACAAAATACAAGTTACGAATGTAGAAGATTATTTTTTATGCAAAATAAAAGGAATTAAGTGATGGCAGTAGCAATAAATAAAATATGAATCAAATGCAAAATATCCACCGAAATTCAATTGCTGAAATTTACATCGAGATTTGAGAATATAAAATGTTTCCAATAATAAGAGTTACTGATCTGTTATTACTTCTTTCAGTCTTGTTTTTAAGTTTTTCCAATAAATAGCAAAGATCGTTTAGGGTTTTTGCATTGGCTTCAATGGAAGTAAATCTTGTTTATCACTCTTTTTTATAATTTTTTTACTCATTACAGTTATATAGTAATGGGGCCCGATATAAATTCGAAACCCGGAAAAATACATGAGTCGAGCTTGAGCCTATACTAATGAGGCCCGATCGTATGTGAGTTTGAGTAACGAGGTCCGATGATATATGAGCTTGAACCGACCCAAGCTCAGCTTACATGGCCCGATTGCCAGCCCTAGTTATGATTCAATTACCTAGATTACTTTATTACTTTATAATATTTCTCTATATATAATCAATGCAAATCAACCCATAAATTATGGGGTTTCTATTACGTTTTTCTTCAATTTCGTTCTTCATATATGATCTTAGACATCAAATTTTAACCTAGCCTCCGACCCCTCAACTCTTCGTCGAACTGATCCAACAATTTATCAAACTGTTCCAAGCGTTCGTCGAACATTCTCCATGGCCGGTGACGACCAAACTACTCCATATGTTGCCCTCTTCAATTATATCATGGTATCATAGCCATGACCACCCCCTTGATTTTCCCCCTCCCCCGATGGTGGTATCATTATCTTTTAACTTATATTATTTGTTTTACTATCTTTCTTTTTCTATCTATTTCGGTATCCTTCAAACATGCTCCCTACTCTATAGTCAGAGTATGTTAATCCCTTTTCTCTTTCTCTTTGATCTTTATTCTTCTTTTAATTATTTTTCTTCGGTACAATTTTATCTCCATCCTCCTCTCATATCTCTCTGTTTCTCGTGCATATCAAAATATTAAAAAGGAAATTTAAAAAAAAAAAAATGGAAAACTTCCCATATAGTCTTTCTTTGTTATGTAAATGTATATCCCTTCTATGATTTTGAAGAGGTATCATCATCTCTCAACACAATTTCTCTATCTCTCTACATAAGGTCGCTCTCTTCTTTATCGATTCATACAAAAAAAAAAAAAAAAAAAAAAAACTTCAATTTCTTACTTCCCCTTGTTATTTTCTTCTCCTTTTTCGTGGCAGTTTCTCCTTTTTGGCGTTCTCCACTTGTTAACTTTAAATACTTTTCAGTGTTGCATAGGTGGACCCATATTCCCCTTCCCCTAGCCCGCCTCCTCTCGGTGTAGGCTTGTTGCCTAGCTCATATCTATTTTATACTCATTTTATTGCACGCTCAATGTTTGTTCGGCCCATCTTACTGAGCCTCTTCATCGCATGAGCCATCCCACCACTTTCTCTGGGAAAGACACTGAAGCGGAGGGGAGCGACTATCCCCGACAACACCGCGAGAGGAATTGCTACTTTGATGCCTGTCGGTCGGAATCAGTGGTAAGGTATCTAGACGCAAATTGATATTTAGTCCATAATCGAGAGCATGCACCAGAAGCAAAGGTAGTATATATATATATATATATAATAAAAAATATAAAATAAAATGGCGAAAACTTGTATTATTTGAAATAAAATTTATGAATATTTACATATTTTTGAATTTTTTTTATCAATAACTCTAAAAATTAATATGAGACGATGCCATGAATCCCCAAAATATTAAGTACGATATATTATTAGAATAATTTGAATTAATTTAGATTTTTTGTCATGCTTAAAATACGATAAAATTATAATATATATGACATTTTAACATAAACTTATTTTTGCAATGTCTTGTGAACATAATTTTTTTTTCGGGGCGCTGCCCCGAACCCCAAAATTTTAGCTAACCCCTCTACATTTTCATCCTGGTTTCGCCTCTGGGTGGTGGGTTCACCCGTTGATTCGGATCCAAAACCTACTATCGTTGGTTGCATACCCAGTTGTCATCGTCAATCTGTTGGAAAAATTGGTTAAAAATTGAGTCATGAACAATTTTTATCAATGTTATCGTATGGTATAATTGATTATATAAATCAATTTTTTGATTAGATTAATATAAAACCAATTTTTTGGTGAATGAAAAATTATTAGTCCAAAATATAAGGAAAGTGGGATTTTGAGTTATCCCACATTGTAAAAGTAGAGAAGTACTGAGCTGTATATATATCTAAATGTTAGGACAAAGGGTCACGCCCTTTGGGCATTCAACTTTGTTTGGGAGAAAGACCTATATTTTATGCGTTTCAAATCGTGCAAACACGCGTGCGCGCAGCTGCCACCGGTCGGCTCGGCTCGCTTGTTCGTTCGGCTTGGCTCGCGCGCGCGCAGCTGCCACCGGTCGGCTCGGCTCACGAGCCCAAATCACTACATTATGTTTTGTACCTTTTTGCTCCAAAGGGCACTACTTTTCAAACCTTATAAATAGATCATGTATTTCACATAATTCCTCACTTCAATCCAAAAACAGCCTACTGCATATTTAGCCTACTCTTCACAGATTTTTTTTTTCCAAACCTTATAAATAGATCATGTATTTCACATAATTCCTCACTTCAATCCAAAAACAGCCTACTGCATATTTAGTCTACCCTTCACAGATTCTCTCGAAAAGTTCTATACAAAGTACAATTCGTCACTACTTTTCAAACCTTATAAATAGATCATGTATTTCACATAACTCCTCACTTCAATCCAAAAACAGCATACTGCATATTTAGCCTACCCTTCACAGATTCTCTCGAAAAGTTCTATACAAAGTACAATTCGTCGTACTTGAGATTTGGAGTGCTCCTATTCCAAGCCTTGCCATTGTATCTTGGGAGACGATTTCCGTTCAAGCTGTTAGCACCGTTGCGAAGAAATTTCGTCTGAAGGACAGAGTCAACTCGCCTCATTAGTACCAGATTTCTTATTCCAACACAATCAAATTCAGTTGGAGGTCAAATGCTTGAATCAACTCCGAGATTCCACTTCCTTGCCCCGTCAATCTCTTTTTTTAGGCGAGTACCAACCTTCCAGCCATCGTCGTATATGCTTCCACTTTCTCACACCACAACTCTAACTTATGATCCTGAGTCACTTTATATGTGAATTAGAGACTCGCCCCACTCACTTGATAATTTAATTCCTTGTTTCCCACTTGCGTAACGAATGAGAGTCTTCTTTCCCGAGTCTGATGTCGACATTCTTTCTGTCAATTTTGCTGTAGTTTTTTCGCCGCTGTTGTAGCGGCACATGCGGTCTTGTCCATCAAGTTCAACTGCCGTCTGCTCCACATGTAGGGGATCTGGAAATGGCATTTCTTGTCATGGCCTGAGCCTATACTCTTGGGCTTCTTATGAGTTTTTCACTCAATAGACCTCAAGGGCAATTGAGCCCGTGTGTGTGTGTATATACCCCAAACTTAAATTAAATCAACTTAAATTGAACCTGAAATCGCATTTACAAATTATTCCATTTTTAATAATTATTTAATTATATTGCATGATTTTTTTTATTTTTTTTGCTAACCAGTTAATATAGTAACATATTTAATTTTAGTTTTAATTTACTTAATAAATGGTCTTACATTACTCATCATCGTCTCCACCACTTCCTATCCCTGCCCATCGGAGGAAACATCTAGAATTTCAAGACACTCCATCTATTTTGGTTCGCGGCTCGGTATTGTGGAGAACTCGCCAGAGCTAGCGAATGAAAGACAAAGATTCACTATTATTGGCCAAGTGGAGCCAGACGCCTTAGAATAACAAGTTCCTGGTGCAAACTCCCTAAAATTGACAAACTCAGTACACCCTCTAGACCCAGGAGGAAACAGAGCATAGCCGGGGAATGGAGGCGGACAAAACTCCGGCGAGCAGTGACGGACGAGCCACAAAGGGTAGCGAGCGCACGCAATAGAGATCGTCTGAGATGACGAGGCAACTTCTAAAATTTTCAAAAAAAATATCCATAACAAATTCTAAAGTTCCTCTCTCTTTCAGGCATTATGTGACTGCTGCAGTAAAAATTGTATTCACTAAAAAACTAACAAACATCACTTTAATTTTCAAATTCTCGGTACACTTTCCTAATACCTTTAAACATGATCGGCCACAAATTATTTTGTCTCATTCAAATTATAAACAAACATTACTTTCATTTTTTAAGTATTCTTTCAAAACATATTTTCTCAAAATAAACTGAAAATAACTCCCAAAATGTATCCAAACATTGCTTAACATCCTTGATCATTTGCCGTCACTTGAAAGATGAATAGCCAAAAAAAATAAAAGAATGGATGAAGAAAGAACAAGAGAGAAATGGTGGTGATTCGGCTGACTTTTAAATATATTTTAAGGGTAAATAAATTAATGCACGTGAAAACTAAATTGCAAATTTTTGGAAATTGAAATGACCGATGTTGTTCCAAAATACTCCATCCGTTCATAAATAATTGTCACTTTTCAATTTTCACAAAGATTAAAAAACTCAATAAATATATCTTATTTTAGAAAAATCATATAAAAATGACTAAAACAACCTTTAATATTTAATGATTTATAAGAGAAAATTAATGAATAGAGTTTTATTAATAAGGTTAAAACAGGAAAAATGCATTTAATGCAGTATTGGAAATCTAAAGTGACAGATAATATGGAACAAAAATATTTTAAAAAAGAGACAGTTATTGTGGAACAGAGGGAGTAATAGTTTTATAGATTGGAAGATTATAATAAGAAAATCTATTTGTAACTAACATATAATAGTTTTTCGAATTCTATTTATTTACTTGTGTGTTTTTTTTTCTTTCTAATTTTTCGTGAATATTTGAATTGATAAATCTTGCTCCAAAAACTGGAGATTTTATGATTATAATTAGTAAAAATAAAAATCACCTACTCATCACTTATTAATCAAAACAACTAGATCTCCCGCAACGGATAATCTAACGATTGGAGTAATTGACACAAGTTTGATTTCCGTTGTCAACGATTGTTAGTTGGGAGTTTGTCACACATCGTTAGTCTAGTTTTGAATGCAAGCTACAATACAATAACCTCGATAAATTAATAACCTCGTTTAAATTGTATGTTTTTCTCGGTCCGAGCTCGAAGGCTACATGCTAAAGAATATTTCGTTAAACTAATATTTCCCTAAATAAATAGAATTTAGTTGGTCCCGACTGTATTAATTTATAGATGCTTAAAGTAATGATTTCATTTTTGTCAGAAAATATAAATAATTCATGTTGTCATAAGCCATGAGGTATTTTATATATTCAGACGTCACGGAAAACGTCATAGAAAAGCTTAGCTCTTGGCAATAAATACCCACTCTTTCTCCCTAGTGTTCATAATCAATTTAAATTTCTCTCTGAGTTTTTCTTTCTCTCTCTAAAAAAATCTACATCAATGGCGAAATCACCAGAAACAGAGCACCCAATTGTGGCTTACGGATGGGGCGCCAAAGATACTTCTGGTGTTTTTTCTCCACTCAAATTCTCCCGAAGGTTTTATTTTTTTTTTCTTAATCCACATTTTATTTTATTTTTTTGTAGTAGTGAAAATTAATTATCGGTTCCTTTTTTTTTTGGTAATTAATAAAATAAATTAAATTGCGCAGAGCCACGGGAGAAAATGATGTGCAGTTCAAAGTTCTGTACTGTGGGGTTTGCCATTCAGATCTTCACATGGCGAAGAACGAGTGGGGATTGTCTCACTATCCCATCGTACCTGGGTAAAAGATTCTCTGCAGTTTGAGTTTGTCCTTTTCCATTTGACACGTGTACATTCTCACAATTTCTCTTACAATTAATGCAGGCACGAGATCGTGGGCGAAGTAACCGAGGTCGGTGCCAAGGTCAAAAAAGTCAACGTCGGAGACAAAGTGGGGGTCGGGTGCTTGGTCGGGTCGTGCCGCGACTGCGGCCAATGCAAAAGCGACCTCGAAAACTACTGCCCGAAACAAGTGCAGACGTACAGCTGGGTCTACACCGACGGCACCATCACGTACGGAGGCTACTCCAATCTAATGGTGGCCGACGAGCACTTTATAATCCGTTGGCCCGATAATTTCCCCCTCGATATCGGCGCACCTCTACTATGCGCCGGGGTCACAACTTATAGCCCGTTGAGGCACTTTGGGCTCGACAAGCCCGGCCTTAGTGTCGGCATTGTCGGGCTTGGTGGGCTTGGCCATGTGGCGGTGAAATTCGCTAAGGCTTTCGGGACTAAGGTGACCGTTATTAGCACTTCGTTGAGTAAAAAGAAGGAAGCCATCGAAAATTTCGGCGCCGACGAGTTTTTGGTTAGCCGTGACCAAGAGCAGATGCAGGTAAGAATGAGTTCTTTTTTTTGGGTAACTTACAATCACCAATGAGATACTTGAGATAGGAGCAAATTGCGAGAAAACCCTCATATTTGCTTAGTTGCAATTAGCCCCTCAATTATAAATCTTGTTATACGTCCAGTCTTGCGGTGTCAAATTTAGCGGAATCTTCTAGATTATATGGAGTATTCTCAATTTTGTACTCGTTTTTATGCCATTCGAGCTCAATATTTTAAAGCAAGATGATCATAGGATGTGTTTTTTGGCTTGTATATATCAGATTGTGGTGCATCAGAAACTTCATTTTTGCACAAAACGAGTACAAACTAGAGAACATTCCACGGAATCTAGAAGATTATGTTGAATTGACACCATAAAAGTGGATGTGTAAGAAGATTCATAGTTGAGAGGATAGTTGTAATTACCTAAACATTATGGGGTTTTTCGTAATTTGACCATACCTCAGGGGTGGTCATAATTTACCATTTTTTTATTCATTTAAAAAATTCAAATTATGTTGGTTAGATCATTTAGGGTGTTATTTGCTAATAAAATTGAATCATAGGGGATTTTTTGCTAATGTTTGTAACACGAGGCATTTTTTTTAACAATTAGAGTTAACACAGGGGTGTTGAATGCAATTAACCTAAAATAAATGAATGATGATTTTGTTTGTATATGGGGGAATAGGCTGCAGCGGGTACATTGGATGGTATCCTCGATACAGTATCTGCGGTTCATCCAATTATGCCGTTAATAAATCTGTTAAAGCCTAACGGAAAGCTTATCTTGGTCGGCGCTCCGGAGAAGCCACTCGAGCTTCCCGTTTTCCCCCTTATTACGGGTTAGTATTTCGGTATTTCCCGCTTGAGTACATTTTTTTATTTATATTATTATTGTTGTGGTATGATTATTTCGAGATTAGTGTTTAACATTGATGAATTTATCCCAAAAAAAAATATAGGGAGGAAGTCGATATCGGGTAGTGCAATTGGAGGGATTAAAGAGACGCAAGAGATGATTGATTTTGCGGCGAAGCATAATATATTGCCCGATGTGGAAATGATCCCAATAGATTACTTGAACACGGCAATGGATCGTCTTGCGAAATCCGATGTCAAGTACCGTTTTGTTATCGACGTTGAGAAATCACTAAAACCCGAGTGAAGCCGATGTGATGTGATCTTCAACAACACCTCGGAAGTTGGCCTATTATCGGAAAATCAGAATAAAACCTTTTTATTTTGAACAATTTCGTTGACTTTGTAGACTTATGCTTGAATTTTTAATTTCATTTTTTTTTTCTATTTCTATTTGCATGAATTACTATATGGTGTTGTTGTGATGGTAACATAAATGAGACACATCTAGTTTTTGTTTTATGTGATATCTTGAAAGCTATTTTGTTGTTCTTGTATTTGGTGTAATTATTATGAAATATTTGTTCTAGTTTCAGTTCATTTTTAGATGTGATAAATTTAGATTGTTGTTGCGTTTCATTTTCATTCCAAAAAGAAAAAAAAAATTGCGTATTTATAGTCACAAATGTTAGGGTTGAGAGATTGGTGTCATAGATGTTATTTTACTTAAACTTTGAAAAGAGAACACAAGTTTGTTTATTAATTGACCAATTGTATGAAAGAGAGTTTTTTTTTTCTCTCTTTAAAAAACTCCATCAAACCTTTTATTAGTAGATAGAGAATCAATCCATATTTTACTCTTTGAGATAAATCCATATTCCATTCTTCTTTTTCTCTAATTTTGAAATTGTCTTTCCACTACTCTCATCTTCATTTTTGTTTTTTATTTTTAATTAATTGTCTATTTTCCTTTTATTTTATTATTTTTTTATATTTTTTTTAACTTTTTTTTCACTGTCACGTGTATTAATCGACCGTGAGCTGAGGCATAGTCGATTAGGAATTGACTACTAAAATCGTTGTTGAATAATGAAATTGACTACTAAATGTAATAAAAACAACCGTAATACCGTCAATGAAACCCAACACAATTCAATAAAAAAGTATATTCAAACAACCATCCGTAAAAAGTTAAAAAAACATAATTACGAAAAAAACGAAAATCAACTATTTTTTACAAGACAACAAATATATAAAAATTGTATTGATTTAGACAAAATGGATGATGGATTGACAATGACTATACAAAAACACACTATCGCAATGCCCCAAATCCAACTACACATGGCAAAATAGGGAATCAATAACCAAATACTCAAAATGCACTAAAAAATGTGATGATTAACCTTAATCGACTACTGAACATAGTCGATTAAACCTTAATTGACTAGTGAATATAATCGACTAAAACTTAACATAATCGATCACGTGTCCGGCTTGCGCGATTTTCTTCGCCCGCGCCGTCCTCCGCCCGATCTACCCAAGAAATCCTAGATTTGCCTCTTCGTCATTACCACACCGTCGCCACACCACATCATCATCATCCCCACCACGGTCACCACAAAACACCGTCTAATTTCCACTCCCATGGAGATTGATCTCCTTCTCCGACGACAATAATAGATCGACTTTCATGGCGAGTAAGGATTGTTGTTGCTCCGAGCAGCCGCGCGCGTCACGGTGGCTCTGGCCTCACTGGAGCGCCTCCTTGAGGGCATAGAAGATAGGGGCGCCGACAATTTTTCCCCCGCCCACGTGCTCCGATGCAAGAGAATAAGGATTTGGACGGACAAGAAAGCAGGGGGAGAAAAAAAAAAAAAGACGGGTGAGATGGGAAAAAAGAGGGATAAAAGAATAATAGGATTAGAGTTTGAAAGAGTATATTGGTCAATTTAAATATGTGAGGAATGCTATATCTAGGGCAAATGAGTTTTCTCAAATTATTATTTAGAGGAGGATCTAGCTCAAATATTTTTTTCCAAATGAGGGAAGTGTTACTAATTTTCCCAATGCAATAAATGTACATAGGTCAGAGAGACGGCTTTGTACACCTGATGAAATACGTCATGTGTTTTTCAGCCGTACAGCTACATATAATAACACACATATTCATGTGTATGTGTGCTTAGTGAATAATTATTTATATAAATTTACGATTTAAAATCACATAATGTATTTCACCAGGTATAGGATAACAAATTAAGTGTACTTGATAAGATTATGTCCCAACTCATTTTATCTTTTTCTTTTCCTTTTTATATTGATAAAATAAATTACAATTATAAAGTATCAAGATGTAATATTGTAATTAACTCAAATTGAAAAGGAGCGGCTACCAAATACACCCAACAACCTCTCAAAAAAATTAAAAAAATCATCAAATCAATTCAAATCTGCAACTTTTTCTTAATTAATAATTGTTTTAACTATTTCAGTAAATATATAATGTCTTATTTCATTCATTCTACAACAAGTGGGAAGATTAGTTGGATTACTTTTTCCCCAACTAACTCAATCATCATTGGAGAAAACATATAAATAGCACCAACGATTTTTAAAACGTATTTGGATCACATCTGAAAATGAAATGCATATTTATTAATAATTGCTAGTGGGTTTTCGAAATTATTGCAAAAGGACATAGATTGACATATTACTCACCAGCGAATTTGACGGAAAATTGTCCTATCAACCTGTTGTTCTACCGAAATATTTTTATTGAATTATTTTAGTAGGGCAACGCTACTCAATCTTTATATATAAAAGAAAGGTTTTACCCGAAACCCTAAAAAAACAGTTTTTTCTTCAAAAATAAATCCATTTTTTTCTCCTTTTTTTTCTCCTCTTCAAGTGCACGTTTGTTGTTTCTTTTTATATAATTATTTTCTTTAAAAAACAAATCCCTTTGTTTTCTCCTTTCTTTTCTCCTCTTCAAGACACGTTTGTTTTCTTTTTTTATATAATTATTTTTTTATACTTTTCTGCGCATGTGAATTTTTTTTTATTAGCACGTTTATTTATTTTTTTTATATATATAATTAATTATATTTGTCTTTTCTTCTTTTATCCTATTTTCTCTCCCAAAAAAATAAAAAAATAAAAAAAATAAAAATGGTAGTTTTTTTGGCAATAACCGTCCACTCTGCCCACTATGGACAAAACTCTGGAGAAGAAAAATCTATAAATAAGTCAACATGAAATATCCGTCTCTTTGTTAAAACGCATGAAACCCTTTTCTCAGTTCTCTTTGTTAACTTCCACCCCATGTAGCCAGTTTTATACAACAATTCCTACGATCGGGTCAAGTTTTCTTCCTTTCATATGAACAATTTCTTTTTGGGCCATCGGCATAATCATTGAGGAAGTTTTATGCTATGGCGTCAGTACATTATATTGTTCCTTTTTTTGGCTGTTTATTTCTTTTGCATTTATATATATATATATATATATATATATATATATATATATATATATTGTTGTTATTTATGTAATGAGTAAGAATGTTTTGAGCCCTTTTGTTTTTGCTCTCTGTTACAGGCTTACAACAGATAATTATGGTGCAACTCTGAGCATCACGTATGGTACTTCCATCCTCTTTGGCTCTCTTTTTCTTTTTTCTTTCGAAAATCTGTTTTTTCCCACACCAAAATTTTGAAAGAAAAATGTGTATAGCTTTGCACTATGTGATTGCATTTTTCATTTGAAGAAACACTCTCAAATAGTTTGCCTATATCTTCTTCAGCAATCAATAACACGTACTACGAATGGTTCTACGTTGAGGTTATGCTTCTCTTAGTTATCCCTTTTGTGCCAATTTTAATGAGGAAATTTTAATTTATCGCATATTTTTTATTTCAATTTTAGATTGTTTATTGTTAAGATTATATTATTTAATTTACTGAACACTTTTACTGATTTTGTACAAATAGCATATTTTTTATGATGTTTCACTAACTGTTTTAACTTTTAAGTAAATGATTTAGACATGTAAAAGAGCGTTGTGTTCAAAATTTTCAATTATTGGATGAGCGATAGATACAAATATTTTATAAATAATTATTCTTATTACTTTAAGTTAGGTTTTTTTGTTATGATTTTTAATTTTTTTTTTCCTAATTATTTTAAGACAATGATTTATACAATTTCAAGGAGTGTTGCGTTCAAATTTAACCTTTTTTATTTATGAACAAGTTAATATAAAATATTGTTTTAACTTAAGCCATTGAATATGTTCGGCATAAACTTATTTGTTAGTGAAGTTTCTGAAATTGAGTATTGCTTCACAACCATCTAAAATTTGAAGAATAATTTTTAAAAATCACTTTTTATATTTTTCAAAATTACGAGTTTTATTTATCAAATTTTATTCATACCACTTTGATTTAAAATTAAACATAAAAATATTATTTACCGTTAAATTTGTACAAATTTTAAACGAATAGCCAACTTTTATGATTTTTCTTTTAAATTTCGTCCGATGCTTCTGATTAGTTACTGAATTATATTTTTTTTCTCTAAACTTTAAAATGGCAGACTGTTAAAAAAAAATGTTTCTACTGACTAATTTTGACATTTAAATGATTGGTGTATCTATATTTGTCTGTTAATGGATGAAAGATTCGATTGCACTACTTTCGTTGCTAATGGTTTTTTACTAACTATTTTTAGACAAGATTTAAAAATGTGAAGGAGTGTTGTGATGATTGTTTTAATGAATATGGTTTAAGAGAAATTAATTATTTAAGTTAAGACGATGAGTACATACATATATGTTATAAACATATTTTCTTAATGGAGTATGTGCAATTCAATAGCTTAGTTGTGTTGCATTAATCCAAAACCATTTAAAATTTGGCGAATGATTTTTCACAGACTATTTCATTTATCTTTTTACGATTATATCTACAAATAAGAGTTTTACTTTTTTTTTTTTTTTTGTCTAAGAGTCATGTTTTTTTATAGGGCAAATGGCAAAAAGGCCCATCACATGGGACTTAAATGCATTTTAGTCCACAAAAAAAACAGTCTCTCAATTAAGCCCATGCCCATGTCTTTAGTCTAAAGTATCCTCAATAAAATAATTCTTATAAATTTCACCCATTATGCTCTTACTTCCTTAGTATTACACATTGACCCCGGATTTAAACAAATATATCACATTAACCCCAAAACCTTTTTTTTTCAGAAAATAATTTTTTTTCTGAAATGTTTTTTTTTCGGCCAGATTCCGGCGTTGACCGCGGCGGTCTCCGGCGTTGATTTTTTTTTTTTTTTTTGAATTTTTTTTTTCTTGATTTTTTTTTCCGGCCGGTCAACCACCGTTGACCGCCGGTCTCCGGCGTTGACTTTTTTTTTTTTTTTTTTGGAATTGTTTTTCTTAAAAAAAAAATATTTTAATTAATATTACTGTCTTGGCTACTAAATTACTGTCTCAGACAGTATTATTACTGTTTGGGACAGTAATATTATGAATATTATTATTCCGAACAGTAATATTATTGTCTAACACTGTTAAATTACTGTTGGAGACAGTAATTTAA